ACCCCCAGGACGCTGGCTGTTCCACCTCTGGGTCTCTCCTTGTCTCCCCCAGCCCCATCTCTTAGGATCCTGAGTTTCCTTCAAGCTTTGGCTCCTGGGCCATCCCTTACAGAAGCCTGTTTGCTCCCCACCCAGAGAGCTGTGTCCCTCGAATCAGCAGCCGCTAATTGTCTGCTCTTCCCAATGGAAATTCCTTAATGGAAGTCACTGCTTCTCACTTTGCTTGTATCTGTATCATCAAGAGGGAGCCTGGTGGAGGAGAGAGAGAGGTGACCTCAAAGCAGGGAGACCTGAGTTCAAGTCCTGCCTTGGACTCACGCTGGCCGGGTGACCCTGGATAAGTCATTTAACCTAAGACTCTCTAAGACTAAGAGTTGCCAAAAAGGTCTTGCATTGCAGAGGCGGCTTCCAGCGCCGGTGAAATCACAAATCTAGTCCCTAGGAACTGGCCCACGTGGTTGTTGTCTGACTCCCCATGACCCCAGTTGGGGTTTCCTTGGCACAGATACTGGAGTGGTTTGCCATTTCCTTCTCCAGCTCATTTTACAGATGAGGAAACTGAGGCAAACAGATTAAGTGACTTACCCAGGGTCACGCAGTTAGTAAGCGTCTGAGGCTGGATTTGAACTCAGGAAGATGGATCTTCCCGACTTTTGGCCCAGTGCTTTATAAGTATCTCATGAGGAAACTGTGGCAGCAGAGGTGATGTGGGCATAGACATTCAGCACCCAGATGTGGGTGGGGGTCTTGCTGAGGGTCTCCACAGCTAGCAAGAGCCTGAGGCCAGATTTGGATTGAGGCCTTCCTGACTCCGGGCCGGGCACCGGCGGCCTCTGCATGTGGGCACCCGGCCCCACTACTAAAGCGGAAGCTCCTGGAGGGCAGGGCCCACAGGGCTGTTCATCTCTGCACCTGCCCCAGCAACTAGTGGGGGCCCTGCTCATGACAGATGTTTAATAAGTATTTTGTTGAATTTAGTTGGAATAAAAATATGAAAAGCCAATGAAAGAATTTAGGCACGAGGGGCAGCCCGCGGAGAAGGGATTCACTTAGGCATTTTGCCTTCCCGGCCAAGCAGAATATCCAGCAGCCACCAAGACCCTCTGTCTCTGTCTCTCTCATCTCTGTCTGTCTCTGTGTTCTTTCTCCCTCTCCCTCCACCCCCTTTTCCCCAAAGTAAGAAAAGAGGAGGGGGCCTCCCAGGCCATGAGGGAGACGTTGACAGCTCCCTCCCTTCCCATCCTGCAACTGGGAAAGGAAAACTCAAACTACCAAGTCATTCAGGCCCAAACCCCGAGCCGCACCCCCTCCCCACCCCTCAAGCAGGCTTAGTGAGAGGCCTGGAGCAGGGTGGAAACTGCTCTGGATTTGGACTCGGATGTGGGTTCAAATCTTGGTTCTGCTACTTGGTACCTGTGTGACCCTGGACAAGTCCCACCCCCTCTGGTAAAATCAGTCAAATGAGAGGTGGTGGGGTTAGAGCCAGAGGGCACTTAGCAAATATCCAATCTACCACCCCCATCTTAGAGAGAAGGCCCAGAGGGATTACAGGGGAGTCAGATGTCCTGGGCTGGAATCCTGCTTCTGAAACTTACTACTTCTCTGAGAAGTCGCTCCCCATCTCTAGGCCTTATCCATAAAATGAGCAGGTGACGCTGGATGGTCACTGAGGCCTGGACCTCCGAGCTGGGAGCCTCTGACCGAAGTCTGGCTCTCTCCAGACTGTCTCTCATCTTCCACGTCCTCACACACTCGCTCTCGGGCCCAGGGCCTCCTTGCTTTGTCCCCAGCCTTTGGAAGAGGGTCCCGCCCAGCCGGTGCCCTGCCCCCTCAGCCCTGCCTCCCCGGTGCCAGTCGCAGATGCAGCCTTCCACCCTGCGGGCCTGCCTTGAGGCCGGCGGGTGACCGGTGCTTGAAATGATTTTACATGTGCTCATCTGTGTGTGTATTGTATCTACATTCATATACACATGTGCACATATACAGCCAGGCACGCACACATGTACATACAAACACATGTGCATTACACATATAGTATTGTCCAGTCTATACTATTATACACCATCGAATTCTGGAGAGGAAGCAGGCAGAAGAGGGAGGAAGGACAGAGGGCTGCTCACTCGGGTCAGCCTTCTCTTCAGCGGTCAGTTCTTAAAGCCGTGGTCTCAGGGATGGGTGACAGCAGCGCCCTCTGGTGTCCATCACCCCTAACTGCCTTGGGAATGAGGCAGAGCGCAGGGCATCACCCCTCCCCCCCTTTCATATAGGAGGAAGCTCCTTGCCCAGGCCTAGCAAATGTGGCAGGATTCACACCCAGGGCTCCTGCTTCTAGGTCCGCCACTTTTTCTCTTTCACTGCGGTTCTGGATGGGCCTGGAGAGGACCCCCAGAAGTTAGCTAGTGCAACCCCTTTATGTTACAGTTGGGAAAACTGAGGCCTACAGAGGAGAAATGACTTACCCAAGGTCACTCAGGGCCAGGATTCGAATCCAGTACTCCAAATCCAGCGTTCTTGCGAGGCATCATCTAGCCTTTAATTTAATTTAATTAGCATTTAATTCAACAAGTATTTATTAATAACTCACTGATTAGGGGGATTGCGGACCATGACATCAGGGAAGGTGATGCCATGACTTGCAAGTGAATTGGATTTAAGTGAAGCAGGGCTGTGCAAAGTCACCTCACTCTCTCCTCTGGAGCCATCCGGGTCCAGTGGCCAGATGTAGATCAGGACTGGAGACGGCCCCAGATGCAGTGGGGGACCTTGGCCTTTTCAAGCTAAGGTCTTTAAGGGTCTCAGTTTGACTGAGGCAACACCCACTCAGTGATTAAGACTTCTTAGAGAGACTCAAAAACCTCTAAAACACAGTCCCTGCCCTCAGGGGGCTTACAGTCTAGCAGGAAGGAAGGCTATAAAAGAGGACAAAAAACAGTGCAGAGGGTCTTGGCTTTGGTGTCAGAGCACCTGGGTTCAAATCCCACTTCTCTCATTACCTATATGACCTTGGGCAACTAACTTAAAGTCTCTGGGCCTCAGTTTCCCAATCTGTAAAATGGGGGGAGATTGATTTAAAAAGCCTTAAAGTCCATTCCAGCCCTAAATCTAGGCTATTGTGGTACCTTCAGTCACTCTGCTCATAGTCCCACAACAAGTAACGGACCAGGGGTATGGAGAAGTAGAGGGAGAGGTTTGGAGTCAGAGACCCAGGGTACAAGTCCCACTTCTGGCCCTTTACTGTGTAACCCTGGCCAAGTCACTGAACATCTCTGAGTCTCAATTTCCTCATCTGTAAAATAAGGTGTGTGTGTGGGGGGGGGTGGATTCCATGGAGTCTGCATGAAGCTTTCAGCTCTAATTCTATCATCACCAGTGGCTATATTAAAAAAAATTTTCACATTTTCTATTTCTTACATCTTGGTTTTTTAAGAGAGAAAAAATAGTCAGCACAACCAGTCATCAATATATTGAGAAAGTCCAAAACTGATCCAGAGTAAAGGGCTCTCAGGATTAGGTTTGTCCTGCTTGGCCCGGAGGGGGGGGGGGGGGGGGGGGGGGGGGGGGGGGGGAAGGAGAAGCCACAGGAAAGCAGGTGGAGGCTGTATGACAGCCTACCTTTAAAACTCTCCAGAAGCACCAAAGGCTGCTTTGAAAGATGATGAGTTCCCCATCACTGGAAGTGTTCAAGCAGATCTTGGATGACCATTTATCCAAATGTCAGCTCTACGAGGGCAGGGGTGGTTTGGCAGGATGGATGAGGCCTGGGTTTGGAAACAGAAAGACTTGAGTTCAAATCCAGCCTCAAATACTTACCAGCTGTGTGACCTTTACAAGTCACTTAATATCTGTTTGCCTCAGTTTCCTCATCTGTAAAATGGGGATAATAATACCTTCCAGGCTTGTTGTGAGCATCAAGTGAGATACCATAGGTAAAGTACCTTGCAAATCTTGACTCACTATATAAACGCTGGCTAATGTT